GCCTCCTGAAATAACGTGCAAGTGGGCCGTGAAGGCAAATGGGGATGTGGGCGGCTGCCGCTCAACCACACTCAACGTGGGCAGCCTTGTGTGTAAGAGGCACAGTAAAAGGGGAGCTGCAAGAACAATGGAAGGGATACCCCTAGGACAACCAGAAAAATGTCTAATTATAAAATTGCTTTAATTGCTTTAATATGTTGGACATCTCAAATGTTCTCATTGTCTGCAATAAGACAAAGACTGCTTTGATTCTGAATCTATTCACCTGGGTGGAATTGGGGCTGTTGTGGGGAAAATCTAAGACACACACACGCGCGCACACACACACACACACACACACGCGCACACACACACACACACACACACACACACACACACACACACACACACACACACATTAAGGATGTGGTTGCCCTCAAACCTCACACTGTGATGGATGGTAAGCTATGGAGTGTTTGATTGGAGACATGGGGGACCTGGTGGGGCAGGGTGTCCTTACTCTCCTCCATTGAAAAGGGGACAAAGTGCACATCAGGAACTACTAACACATTGCCCTACTCACGGCAGTGTACAAGGTGCTTGCAAAGGCGGTGGCAAACAGGATGATACCGGTCATGGAGGACATCATCCACCCCACCTCGATGGAGTTCATGAGTGGGCGGTAGGATAATTCAAATAACATTCTATGGCTGGATGAGCTACTGAAACTGGCATGACAAAACGCTTCGTTTGTCTTTATTGATTTTGAGAAAGTTTATGACCATGTAGACTGTATCTTTCTAAACCATTGTATGGAAAGAATGAGCATTGGACCGCACTTCCGATGATTGGTTGGGATTCTACACCAGAACGCTACCACCCGGCAAGTGCATGTCAACAGAACACCAGCTCCCACCATTCAGCTATATCAACCAGTTCGCCAAAGGGACCGGATTGACCCCTTCCTGTTTAGCATTGACAGTCACAGCAACCTAAGAGATAACCGGGAGTCCTACAGACGAAGGCTCACAATCTCCTCTCCACTCCTGAAGAGGCAATGATCCCTGTTTGTTCCTGATTCGCTGATGACTCAGCTTTGACGGAAGAGGCCACTGCAACAGACACTGAAGCAGGGGTGTTGCTCCCCACCAATCGATTGAGCCTTCAATACTGGGGCCTGCTTAAGGAGGATGCTCATATCATCTTCTTCTTCTTCTTCTTCTTCTTCTTCTTTTTTTTTCTTTTTTTTTCTTTTTCTTTTTTTTTTAATAACAAACTACCGGAGAGGATGCTAGGGGTGCTGGTAAGAGTAGACGCCACTAGCATTTCCCAGGGGGCTCCATCTATTGGTGGGGAGCAGCACCTGCTGGAAAGCGGGTCCAGCGTCCCTGAGCATTTAGTTTGCTTCTTCAAACAAATATGCAGTTGTAATGACAGCCAGAAGAAGGCCTTATCTGCAAGCGTGGAATTTTGGCAGGCAGCACTACGCAGCAAACGGAGCTGCTTGCCTACCTAACAGCCTACTTCTAGCTTAATCCTGTTCCGTATCGTTCATTGCCGGTTTTGTAGTTCTTGTTTTGGTTGTGGCCTGCATGCTTTCACAGATCAGGGCTCCATTCTCCCTCGGGGCTGCCTATGTTACTCTTCCCTTCCCTTCTGGAGCGCTGTGTATTCAGACCACGACTTAAACCCAGAGTCGCCCAAAGAAGCAGTGACCGGGCCTTCCCTTGGCCGACCCCCCTAAGGCTGCGGAGCGTATACTGGAAGTCCTGCGGCCGATAGCTGAGCGAGGTACTGGTGGTTTAAGCAGGACTCCCGGGGCGTGAAGCTATTAAAAAAAAAAAAAAAAAAAAAAAAAAAAAAGAGATCTAGCACGTTATGGACTGGTTGTGTAAGCTCTCTGACATAGAAGTCAACTGGGGCAATAAGACCCTGGGCAGGTGGGTCCTCTATCGGGAAGGTCAACCCCCCTGGAACTGCCCAAAATGAACTTACTTCTCAAATCCGCTCCCTTTAGAGTTGGAGGAGTGATGTTGACGGCGCAAGGACTTCCAACAATAAATGATGAACGAATACTCAAACCAGAACTAGTAAAAATCGCATTTAATTAAATTAATTTATGCAAATTTTGAAATTTAAACACAAAATGCATCCCTATTGGGAAGAACCTTCGTCATCAACAATGTCGTACGTCCATCACTATGGCTCAAATCTGATTCAGTCCTGTGGGCACTAAGTACGGAGTCAGTCAAATTATAACTCAAGTGCCCACTTACTGCACTACTATGGAGGGGACAACCACGCATATAGAAAATGTAATGAGTAGGGTGGCATGGAAGGTCTTTTTTTTTTTTTGTCCATGGATGCTCAACTTTGTGATCTAACCAAAAAAACAAAGGAGGCTTAGAGATACTTGACCCCAGTATTTAAGTCATGGCATTATCAATCCAATGGATCCGGATGCTGCAGTTCGCTTCAAACATTCCTCGGAAAGCTTTAACACTTGAGCAGATTGCTCGAGTACCGCCTTCAAGGTAAAGTTCACCCAAAGAGAACGCGCATTTATTATAGCTGTTGTATTTGGGTCACTTTCCATCCAGGTACGGCGATAATGATTAGATGTTCTATTCGATTCACCCGGTAGCACACCGGACTGTGGCCACAGTGAACCCCATACATCTGGTTAGAGGACCGTTGACCTGGAAACATTGTACTGCAAAAACCCTGCTTGGCAGCACCAAGCCATTTGGGACCATCTCAGAGGAGTAGGGGGTAGGCGGTGGCCGGACGTGATATGTGTGCAAGAGACCCACCTGTAGGACAACCCAGAGCATAACAGGGCACACAAGATGTTCTGGCCTCATTCAACTATGAGGGTTCAACAGGGGTAGCAATTTGGATTCCCCCCGACTTCAGATTGCAGTTGGTCCATTGGGTGGTAGATGAAGAAGAGGGGCGGTGGGCCTCAACATTGGGAATGCTGGAATTGGAATTACTTTGTATACTTTGCATCTACTTCCCCAACACGGTCGGAAAAAGAAGAGCCTTTCTGGGGAATCTAGGATCGCAAGTCCCCAAGGGCATCCCATTAGTTATAGCAGGGGATTTTATCATCACCCCTGATAGAAGATTGGATAGATGGAACCCTCAGGGGACACCCCCTTTTGCTGCGGACGAAGACGAGCGAATGGTAGTAGAACTATGTGAAACTCTCTCGGTCTTCGACACCTTTCGCCGCCTACACCCGCATGACCGGTCCTTTACATGCATAAGAGACAGCGATCCGGCACAGTTATCCAAATCATGAATCGACCTTATCCTTCTTTCTAATGACCTAGAAGGCGTCCTATGATGGTCGTTCATCCTCCCACACAGCCCGCACCCAGGTCTGGACCACAAGACATGTGGGATAATATTAACAATGAGGAAAAGGCCGACTCAAGGGCCTGGTTTCTACAAGCTCAATACCTCCCTCTTAAGAGATCAACCATTTAGACAAATGATTTAGCACGAGTGACATTTTTGGCGCCAACAAAAACATCTCTTTGACTCATACTCCACGTGGTTCAACAATGGTCTGATTTTTCTAGCCAGGAAGTGAAAGGAATTTTCCAAGGTCAAAGCGGCCCTACGACAACAACAGGAAATGACCATTCATAAGGAATTGCTTGACCTGGAAAAACGGGTAGATTCACAACATCTCACTATCCCCATCCAGAGAGTCAAAGACCAACTCTTACTACACGCCCAACACAGATGACAAGGTATTAGAATATGAGGAAAATTATGCTCATGTGGACCCTTCTTGGCCCAAGGGCTGCAGGGTATGAGCATAATACTATTTCAGTCATCCAGTGGCAGGCCTTGGATGGGGGGCCACAAAATTATGCTCATGTGAACCCTTCTTGGCCCAAGGGCTGCTGGGTATGAGCATAATACTATTTCAGTCATCCAGCAGTTGGGTGTATGAATAATTTGGCCGGTCCACCCACCTCAGGTCCGGATAATATGCCCATAGTTTAGCCTCGGTCTGATTCGTATGACCATAATTTTGCATTGAATTTCCGGTATACTTTTTTTTTTTTTTTTTTTTTTTTTTTGAAAAGAAAGAAAGGCATTACTGTGGAGGAATTTCCGGTATACTAAGTTGCGTATAGCCACAATTTTGCGGTACAAGCGGCGGTCCCAACTTGGGTCCACCTCCGTCCTTGGCATGCAAATAATTTCGTCCGGGATGCGGACGGTTTTCTGGGTACAGATGCAAGTTGGCGCTGGGACTGGGAATAAAGAATATTCCTGGTAAGCTATGTAACACCCGCGGACGCGTCCGCGGGGTCAAGCTCGGAGGGCGGACGTGATCACGGCCGCGCGGCTCCGGCATCGGTTGGGTGGGGCCGCGGGGTCAAGCTCAGAGGGTTTCCGCAAAACGAACTTTCGTCGTGCATCAGGACGGGAAAAGACATCAAGGGGAGAGGGCCATGGCGGCGGAAGACAGAAGCTCCGGCCATCATGGGTTTGAGGGATAGATGGTGGGTTCGAAGCTTTCAGGCCTCGTCATCGGCCTCATGAAGTGGCCGGACCGTCGGGTTTTTGCTGTAGAAGTGGTTGGTTCGACGCCTTCAAGCCTCGACGTCAGACTCGAAAAGTCCGCGCGGAAGTTTCCGAGAGGGTGAAGCGGCGGGAGGACTCGCCGGCATCCGAATTCGAAATTGCGCGGGCAGCGCCCCCCCATTACGGAAGAGCTCGGGGAAACATGTCGCTCCCTTGTAACCCAGGACCAAGCGTCGCCAAGAACACGAGTCCCCTTGGCGACACCATAGACAATCAAACTGCGGCCGCCACTCGGCGTGAGCGGCCGACCAGGGCAACACCATCAAACCCGTATAAGGCAATATTAGAGTCGGGGAATCAAAGCGATCAATCAAGACAAACCCGTTCCCCCTTATATTACACGCCCGAGGCGAGTCTCGCCAACACACTTGCTCCGTCCGTCTCAGCGCGCGCCGTACGTCCGCATCGCAGTAGACGCTGTCGTCATCTGCAATGGGGAAGGTCGGTAGCGAGATGAGACGATCGGAGGTGCGAACACGGCCAAGATCCCGCGCTCCCGGTCATCCGAACCAACACCGACTCCATACAACACTCGAGGCAACTCTTCTCTCTCAAGGTCGGTGCGTCGGGAGAAGATGACGAAATCTAAGCTCTTTTCCCCTTGCGGGGGCGTCGACTGCGCGCGCCGACGCAGGCGGTTGACGTATTCGGTGCAGGGACGAGAAGTTTAAAAGTGATGACTATCAGTTCAAAAAGAAAGGCGATCGAGAGAGAGTGAGTTACACCGAGACTGCGTGTGCGCGCAGGAAAGGCAGCGGAGGGGAGGGGAACAACAGGATCAACACGCTCATACTCCTAAGCAGACGGTCTTCCAGTTCAGTTCCCCCGTCCCTGCCCAGATAAGTACATACACACATACATGCATGCAATCAACAACCCTTGACATGACATCCAATCATCCATAGACCTTCGACATCACTCATGCGCACAACCAACTCCCATCACTCGGGGCTTCAGACACACATCATGCATAGACAAAGCAGCAATGGAGATACAAGTGAGTCCTTCTTGTACACAAAATTTCTCAATTAACTGTCGCCCCCAGGCGTAGCCTTCAAAAACCTCCCAAGACCACCGACCATGCCACAAGGCCCTGCCGCGGTCGGCGTCCAATCCCCACCACTGCTCAGTCCCTCCGACCTGTGTATACCCCCGTACAAATACGGGCCGTACGTACGTACGTACGACCGTACGTACGGGCTCATGTGGTCGTACAAGCCGTACGTACAGGAAAAAAAAAAAAAAAAAAAAAAAAATTGAAAAAAAAAAATTTTATGCATAAAAAAAAAATTAAAAACTTTTTCCTCAAAAAAAAAAAAAAAATTTTTTTTTTTTTTTTTTTTTTTTTTTTTTTTTTTTTTTTTTTCCCATACCGGGCTGTACCGTACGGCCGTACGGCCGTTCATACGGCCGTACGTACGACCGTACGATAAACCCCCCGTACGACGTACGGGGGACGACACAGCCTCCGACTGCTTCGCCCCGAGACTACCGCGGGTCCACCCCACGTCGTCACTCCGCCCGTCCTTGGGCTCGTCGAGCCTGTTCGGCGCCGCGGACTTTCGCGCATAGCTCGTGCAGCATTGCATCCGAGATCAAAGAGAGGGAGAGGAGAGGGTTGCATGAATTTATAGCGCGGGAGGCGGCGGGTTGTCAGCGCGAGGTGCGGGCAGCGCAGAAGAAAAGGTGGGGAGTCAGAGGGTTAGATCCGCGGGGTTGCATGGTCCTACGTGATTGGGGTGCTCGTTCAAGTGGTGCGCGGATTTGCGCTTTCCACATTGATCCGAGCATCCCAACTACGCAGCCAATCACTTCACGGAGGAAGACGGGGTAAGAATCAAGTTGGGCGTAGGGGAAGACGAAAAGTCCGGCTTGAGGGAAACGCGCGCAGCAAGGAAGGAAGATGGCGCGGGGATGCAAAGCAAGAAGCGGGGGTGCGAGACGCGCGGAGAAATCGGAGCTTAGGCGCGCGCACGCAAAAATTCAAAAAGTCCCAACCGAAACCGTTTCTTGGTTTTCATACCGCGGCCGCTATTCGCCTGCGCTGGAGTTGTTAACCAAAAAAAAAAAAAAAAAATCCGTTTCAAAAAAAAAACAAAAGCAAAAAGAAAGAAAAACCCCTCGTTGTCCGCGTCCGTACTTTGGGGCTTCCGTGGGATTTTTCCTCAGGGATACGGCAAGCCGCGCGGTACGGGTTTGAGCTTATCACATCTGTGATACGCAGGGGGTTCCGAAAAATTAGCAGTCTCCCGACAGCTGATGTCATCATATCTTGGATGATCGGGCGGCCCCTTCATCGTCAGTTGGCCCGATAATCTTCCTAATCCATGTGGATGCATTCTGCATCCTCCATTGCCTCCTCCCCTAATATACATCCGATCGGGCGACCCCTTGATCATCAGCTGGCCCGATCGGTAAGTAACTGATTTTTTTTTTTTTATTTATTTTTTTTTTCCTCGTATATATAGCACGTGTCATCGCGCGAGCTTTAGATCCGGAAAAGAAGAAGAAAAAGAAAGAGGTGGTGGTGGAGATGATCATAGGAAGTAATCAATCTTCGGATTGAGAGGGGGAGGAAGAGGAGGGAGGAACGCCGCGAGCGCGGCCAAGTTGGCTGACACTTCCACTTCATTGAAGTGGTGCTGGACAAAGGAGGGGTAAAGGAAAGTCCCCGACACATGCGAGAGGACCCGTGGAGCGAGATCGGTGATCGCCCAAATGATCCGTCGTCGCAGCGGCCGATTTCTCGGACCCGTCAACACCAGATGGGTCTCCGTGTACGGCCTTCGCTCCCGCTTAACTGTCGCGAAGACCAGGATATGGTACATAATGTTGGGCCGCCCGCCGGTCTTGTAGATGAGCGTGCCCACCAACCTCGCCGTTATACACCCGTCGAATGGAGGCTGCAAGAACGCCTCCCATGCCGGATCAGGACGCGGCGCCCCCTCGATGCCCTCAAGCCGGATGGTGGCCTGTTCCACCATGTGATCCACGTCAGTTTGATGGACCATCCGGCTCGGGGGAACTGCTAATATCAATGACCGGGGTATCCCAGGGGGGTTGGTGAAATCAGAACGGTCCTGCAAGGAGGGGGGGTCTAGATGCGGGATATGGAACTCGTCCCAATCCCCCCCCCTGCGCCTGATGGCCCGGCTGCATGGCTATTGAAATCGGGGAGGAGGGGCCGCTGAGGTGTCGACTCCCGATGGCCTGTGGATCTCCGCGGTTCTTCGGCGGGGCAGTCCTCCCCCAGTCGGGCCCCGATGATGAGGGTGGCTCTTCTCTCGCGAATCAGCTCGACTCCGCGCACCGGCGCAGGCTGGACAACCTCCTCGACCGGCCCCACCCGACTGGCCTGAGCTTCCGGCGATGGACTTCGTCGCCGCTTCGGGACAGTTTTCTTTCTTGGTGCCTTCAGGGCCGCCGGCTCTGGATACGATGATGGAGGCCGCAGCGGCTTGTCTTCGTGCCCGAAATCCACCACGGACTCCCCCTCACGCGCCAGGTAATCAGGTATCACCGCCGCGTTATACGCTCTGCACGGGGCGGAGGCGGTCTGGAGTCTGAACTGCAAGTCTTCTTCTTCTGCGGCGATTACCTGCGCAATGGACAGCAGCTCGATGTGGATGAGCTGCAAGAGCCCCGGGCGATTCGTTCCAATCCTCCCGAAAGAGTAAAGCACCACCGTTCCCTCCTTTCGCTCTGGCTTCGGCTTGGCAATTACGTAGTATACGTAGAGGAACTCGTCGACGTTATGAACTTCGTGCTCCACGAAGAATGTAAACATGCCCAGCACCACCGACGAATACAGTGCCCGATGCAGCTCCCACGCGTCCTCGTCAGCGGGCGACAACTGCTCGACGTCCGTCAGCTCCACCAGGTACTCGGGAAAGTTGCGCATAGGATAGGGGAGTTGTGTCAGTTGGTGAGGGAGGGTAGTGTAAGAGAAGAAGGGGCGCATTTAGAGAGAAGGGGGAGGGACAACTTGAATGTTGAGGGGCTCGGCGGAAGGAAGGAGCGCGGGGAGCTGCGGCACCAATGCAAGTGCTTCCTCCAGAGTCCGCCGCAGAAGTCCTTCGTATGCGGTGAAGCGATGGGTGCCCCTCGCCTGCACTCACGCCACCGATCTAGCCACCTGGAGGGCATAGTTGCGCAAGAACCTGTATGCCGGCTCCCGAACGTGCCCGGGCAAGACGGTTAAATCCCTGGTGAAAGTGGCGACGCTGTGCACGAAGTTTATAGCCACCTGGATGGTTTGGAACTCGATGAGCACTCGCGTGGATTCTTGACCAGGCACTTGCGATATGTCCACATAGACGCCCGCGTACGTCACACGCTGCGCGAGGAGCGAGTACACCACCAAGTCTGCAATGCTGGGTGCCGACACGTTCACTTGCTGAATGTCGAAGCGTAACTGCCGATCGTCATTGAACCGGTTCCGGAGAAGAGCTTCCGAGATGGGCGGCTGGAAGTGCTCGAGCAGTTCATGCTCCTGTTGGCGATGGTTCATCCTGCGAGGCAGGGTCTTCCGCGGATGCCGACGACGCCGATTGGGGAGAAGGGGGAGAAGGAGGCGAGGACGAAGGAGCGCGAGAGAGGGACGAAGAAGATGATAAGGGCAGGACAGGTGGCTGCACGAGATCCAGCGATGGCCGAAAAGGCCGGAGAGCAGCGACGTGCCTTGTCAGCGGGCGGCCTTGCGAGTTGTGCCTGGGAACCAGCTTCACGGTGTGTTGGCCTCGTGCGCCAACTTCCGTCACCTCGTAAATGCTTGTGTAGCGTGGGTGGATCTTGGAGGAGCGCGCGGATCTCCGTACCTGCACCAAGTCCCCAACTTTATAGCGAGGTAGTGGTCCCGCAGACGCATGTCGGTTCTCGTAGTCGCGGATCTGCCGTTGATGCGTCCGATCTATGGCCCGCTGTCGACGGCGAGCTAACGGGGGATAGGCCGTAGCCATTAAGTCCATGTAGTGGCGGGCCTTATCTCTGTGTTGGGCCCGTGTTGCTCTATCTTCCGTACCTACCAAGGGGGACAACTGCACCCGAGGGACACTATTGGTTCTCAGTTGGAAGGGGGACAACCAAGTACTACCATGTGGGGTAGCCCGATAGATAGCCAAGATATGGTCGACAATGATTGGCCAGGGTCGGGTATCTCCCGTAGTGATATTCCACCTAAGAGCGGTCTTAATCAATCGGTTGGCATTCTCTACCAGGCCATTGGCTTGAGGCCAATGCCCCGATGAGTAGATAATCCTAACTTCCGCCCTGACTAGGTGACGTTCTACTTCGCCTTCAAATTCCGACCCATTGTCCATGTGTACCTCGTCTACGTCTAGATGCATGCACAAAAATCGGTTTATGTACCAGGCTACCTCCTGTGAATTCCGGCTGGTCATAGGGTACACCTCGATCCATTTCGAAAAATGATCGACGGCCACTAAAAGAACATTGAGCTCTCCCTGATCGACGGGACCTCTCGGAACGTTGATATCCGTCGTGTCGATACTAACCCTCTTAAAGGGGCGCTCTACTCGAGTAGGCACCATCGTCCGAGGCGTCTGTACCGGCGCCTTGTCCGCCGTGCAGGCCGGGCAATTCTGGACGATGTATTTCACATCTTCCTGAATCCCCGACCAGTACCATCCATTCTTTTCGATAGCCTTTTTCGTGTATTTGACCGCGAAGTGGACCGCATCCTCTTCATGAGCGGCTCGGGTCCAATCGAACCTAGCTAAAGGGTGCGGAACCGTCAACCAGCTAGGTCCTCCGTCATCCTCGATTTTTCGTTTTTGTAACGTCGATCCCTGCCAGCGATAATCGTGCGCCCGCTCCGTGACTCGCAGCCGCTAGGCTTTGGTCAGTTCCGTCAGCGAGTTGCCTGCCAGTCTCCTTAACAACAGGAGGTCCGTCCAGACTTCTGCCTTGCGAGTACTGGGCGCAAATCCGTCGACTGTTCTTGCGTGAAGTTGCGTCCAGATACCGCTTCTCGGTAGGGACTTGGTCCGTTTTACAGTTGGGACAGACCCATGTCTTTTCACTTCGGTACTTAACGCACTGTCCGTGAGATTCGACCGTATGACACTGGATACACTGTACCCATAGAAGAAAGTTGGGCCCTCTCGGATGTGACCCTTTTCGATCCGGGACCATAGGCAGAGTACAGAAGAAACAGGAACTTAGATGTGACTTAGAGGAGGCATTGGGACTAAACGAGGGAGCAAGAGAACTGGACGAGGGCAAGGAGATGGCATCCGCCATCTCTGACGAAATCTCCATTCTAGACTCAGGCGTCGCCCTTGCGCAGCACGTGCAGCCCCCCATAGCGCGGCTCCGTCAGGATGGCTTCCGGCTTCCACGGAATGAGTCGCTCGTTGGTGGGACACTTGTTGGGCGGTAGGAGGCACGTTAATCCATCGGCGTTGCCATGCTGCCGCGTGGCACGGTGGCGAATGTCGAAGTCATAGTCCTGCAGGCGCACCGCCCACCTTCCCAGCGTCCCTGTGTAGTCCGTGTTGTGGCGTAGGGACAGCCGCGGCTGATGATCCGTTACCAGCACGAATTTCTGGCCGTAAAGATACGGTCGGAAATGCTCAATCCCCCACACCACCGCCAGGCATTCCCCTTTGCATGCTTCGTAATTAGACAACGCCTGACTCAGCGTCTTAGACCCATACTGAATAACGTGCTCCCTTCCGTCCGTTCCCTGCTGAGTCAGCACCGCCGATATCGTCTGCGGCTGCCTGTCAGTATGCAGCGCAAACTGTCTCATCGGATCGGGACGCGCCAACACGGGTGCCGATGTCAGAGCCTCCTTGAGTGCCTGAAAAGCCGCCTCACATTCCGGCGTCCAGATCAGCTGCTCCTCCTTCTTCAGCAGGTTCGTCGGTGGCTTGGCGAGGCAGGCAAAGCTCCGAATGAAGCGTCGATAATAAGAGGCCAGCCCTAGGAAGGCTCGAACCTGGGCGAGCGTGACCGGGGCCAGGGCTTCTCGAACCGCTGCTCCCTTCCTGGGATCCGGTTTCAGTCCCTCGATCGTGACAATGTAGCCCAAAAAGGAAATTTCGGACAGAAAGAACTCGCTTTTCTCCAAAGCCACTTTGAACCCCGCATCCTTCAACGCATGCAACACCCATTCGACATGTTCCACATGGTACTCGTAGGTTTTGGAAAAGACCAAAATGTCATCCATGTACACAATCACACATAAATTTATCAACGGCTGTGTCAAACGGGTTTTGTTAACGAACTTGGCGAAGGCCATATTCATGGCCCGCTGGAATGTTGCGGGGGCGTTACAAATTCCCATGGGACACCGGATCCAATGCCACGTGCCCTCGAACAGGACAAAAGCAGTTTTGGGCCGGTCTTTCGGTCGGACTGCGACGTGGTAAAAACCATGTCGGATATCAGACTTTGAAAAGACCCGAGCGGACCCGATAGCATCCAGCAGGTCGTCAATCCGCGGTAGCGCATAGACATCTTTGGTAGTAATAGCGTTTAATTTGCGGTAGTCAATACACACTCGGACTGAACCGTTTCGTTTTGGCACGAGGACCACGGGGAATGACCATGGTCCTAGCGATGGTTCAATCCATCCTAACCGTTCGAACTTTCGTACCCTTTCCAGGGCCAGCTGTCTTTCCTTTAGGGAATAACGGTACGGTCGGCAATGTATCGGGGCGCGATCACTGGTATCAATCGCGCGTTGGATCAGGTGGGTAAGTTTTATATCGTGGTCCTAGATACTGACGACTTTTGGTTAGGTCCGTATAACTGCTAAAAGAAGGCGATTATAGTCGTCAAGAACATGGGCCGGCAGCTGGACGTCCACGTTTCCCTCAGGGAGGGAGATCGTCGACGTAACCATGGGGACTGCTGCATTAGCTTCGGGTGAGGCACCAAACAGAGAGTTGTCGGTTTTTGACGAAAGCACGGTCGCAATAAGTTGACTGTCTGCGGGACTTGTCGATTCATTTTCCATGTCACTGTCATTCTCGAGCTCGGTTTCAGCCGAGGGTTCCACTGAAAAGGCATGTATCAGTGCCTTCGGCTTCCATCGATATTCCCTCGTCCGGGGTTGAAATGACACCCCTTCCTTCAAGAGCAGGGCGGCTTTTGCGTTTATGAGCAGGGGTCTGGGAGGCCGAAAAGTTAAATCGCACAACCCCCTGAGCTCCGTAAACCTTTCGGGTAGGGGGTCCGTTCTAAGATATAGGGACGCAGGGGGCTCCGAAAGGTCAGTTATTCACGACACCCTCAGCAGGGGTTCCCCCCGCACCACTGAGGAGAACGCGTGCGACCAATCGGACTCGCTCCGAACTATTTCCAAGGGTTCTCGTCGCCAGGAATGGCGCCACCGATCCTAACTCCGGATCGGATATCGGTCGAGAACGTTTGTCTCGTCAGTTTCCGACGAGGTTTCATTTTCGCCTGGTGCCAGGCGTCGGATCATGTTGATTTGATAGGCTTTCATGGTGATTCGAGGCGCCGGCTGGGTGCGCATACGCACCGCCAATCTCATTGGTATCGTTTGTGGTTTGGGGTGGGCCGATGTGAGCACCACCTTACAACTGTCAAAGTGCATTCGCGCTCCGACCGCTGCCTGCCACGGAATGCCTAGCAGAACATCATACGTCTGTACATCCAGCACGATTGCGTTGCACAAACAATGCACCCGCCCCACCCGTATAGGCACGTTCGTTATCCGCCCTTTACAATGAATGCTATCTTTTGTATCGGATATATACAATTCATCCGGTGGGAGGAATACTTCGGGTTTGTCCGAGGCAGAATCTACGGTCTGGATCATTCCTATCCGGTTGGCTTTGTGCACCTTTGAGGTCGAGAGTTGCGACTCCTCGTTTGTGGGTAGGTCCCGTAGGACCGGTATTTTGCCCTTTCGACTTTCCTCGAATCGGCACCTATTTTTAATACGTCGTTCGATGAACTTTTCGTTAGCCGCTTCGGAAATGGTAAGCAGATAGGGAATAGGGACGGGGATCCGTAGATCCAGAGCCTTCAAGGCATCCAATACGTCGATATGGCCATCCTTGTATTCAGGACCAGGTGCCGCAAAATCTTCGAACCCTGGTCACCACGACCCGAGGTCGCTTTCCTCGGTAATCCGTTGGACGTGACGTATCACTCCGATGGTCCCGGGTTCGAACATCGCCGCCACCATATACTCATCGGGTCCTATCTCGGTGGCCGCAGGGGTCACCATCTCCGTCGTTCCAGTGTCCATTACCGTGGCTACCCTCCCCTGTCCTGCAGCAGTTGGAGCAGCCAGCGGGATTTGGGAAGGTCCGGTGGGACCCGCGGGTCCACTCTGCGTTCGAGGTTTCAGACAATCTTTCGCAAGGTGGCCCGACTGATTACAATTATGAGAGCGTAGGGGCTGGACAGCCCCGGCCAAGGCCGGTCTTATCATAGGGGCCCCGGCTGCCATAGCCGCTTGTTGCCGTTGTGCGGCGGCTATGCGTTGCCGCTGCAAACCTTGAACAAACTATGTCAACGGGGCCACTCTTTCATGGATACTTCTTCCTCGCCCCGACCTCCTTGAGCTTGCCCAGAGCGACGGGAGGTCGAAGCAGAGGAAGAAGCTTTCTGATCTGAGCCTTTTTTTGTCGGACCCAATCCAAAGCGATCTTCGAACATTCGTGCCGTAGCGGAGTAGCTATTGCGTCGAACACCTGAAGGGTCGTCTTCATCGGATTCTGAGTCCAGGCCCACATCGTAATTTTCTTTCCCGTACTTAATGACGTACTGAATTAGCTCCGTCAGGGAATGTTCTATAGGGTTGCATTTCTTGCGGATCTCTTTCCGCAGGCGAGAATCTGACAATCCTCTGACGAAATCAGTCTGTACCATTTTCTCGTCCAACCCGGAGCATTCGGCTAGGTACGTAAAACGTTCAGCATATCTAGCCAAGGTCTCCTTAGGCTGCTGCGTGAATTCCTTTATTAGACGGAGGCATTGACCTGGTGCGATGTGATCAAATCTGTCGAGAAATTTCCTCTGGAAGGCTAACCAATTAGTGAAGGGGTTTTGTCCATACCGCTCAAAAGCGGTTCCGGCTAACCTTCCGGGAATTCATTCTCGGAGCAACTGGTCTGACCAGCCCTGGGCTTTCAAGGCAGCTAGCCAGGTGCGAGGGTCGGTATCATCTTCGGAGAAAATGGGAACTTCGGAGGGAAGAGGTACAAAATACAAGGGATGATTGGCCATCCCCGCGTGGTTATCGTCGTCGTTTCCACCCCCGATTCCGGGTTCAACCATCGCGGGAGGCGGACCTTGAGCCCGGCCTCTCGCTCGGTTCTGATTGCTATTCGCGGGTCGCCGTCGACGGGGAGCCAGCCTACTCAAAAATGCGAAAAATCTAATAAAAAGATCAAAAAGGAAAAACTCTTAAACAGGGTAATCGTCCTAGGAAAACCTCGGAGCCGAAACAAATCAACTCTGATACCAACCTCACGCCCCCGCGCGGCTTCTCGTACTGGGTCGCCGATCAGAGTTCTAGGAGGGGCGTGGCCGAGGATTTTTGGCCATAGGGGTTGAGTCTCCCGGACGGAAGGGGAGGCTCTCGTTTCGTGCCAGAGGTTACCCTGGAGTCGAACTGTCATCGTGAAGTCCCGTGGGGGTCGGATCACTTCGGAGCGACAAAATCAAGAGGGTTTCCACAAAACGAACTTCCGCCGTGCATCAGGACGGGAAAAGACATCAAGGGGAGAGAGCCATGGCGGCGGAAGACAGAAGCTCCGGCCATCATGGGTTTGAGGGATAGATGGTGGGTTCGAAGCTTTCAGGCCTCGTCATCGGCCTCATGAAGTGGCCGGACCGTCGGGTTTTTGCTGTAGAAGTGGTTGGTTCGACGCCTTCAAGCCTCGACGTCAGACTCGAAAAGTCCGCGCGGAAGTTTCCGAGAGGGTGAAGCGGCGGGAGGACTCGCCGGCATCCGAATTCGAAATTGCGCGGGCAGCGCCCCCCCATTACGG